CATTTTCGTCTTCTCGAACGAGGCGGCCTTTCCCCGGTTCGCTCTCAACGGGGGTAAAGTCTCCGAGCTCACGAGCCATCTGACGCTTTTTCCTAGCGGCATGAATAAAAGCAGCATCTGGAATTTCTCCTAGAGACAGATGTGTGCACCATTAAACAACCGCTGCAACAAAACGGGTATTATGATTTCTTATCACTCATCTCTGCCGCCCTACCAAATCATCTTTGCACACAGGAAAAAAACGAACACGGGAGGAAACGAATCCATACTCACAGAAACACCTGCAAGCAACTTAGAAGCTAAACATGTAAACTTTCTGACCAGAAACCCTCAAAGGTGGGATCTTCACAAAAAGTGTGGCTCTGCTTCCGGCAGCTCACACGTCATAAGAGCAGAAGCCTGATGTTCCTATAGGAAACACTCCTACAGAAGAGGAAGCCCTTTGCAGGAGCTGACTATTGCAAAGGGAGGAAGAAATTGAGGTGCGTGACTGTGTCACCTCCTGGCCTGATATTGCTCCCAGCTCTTCTTATTTTGGGGGAACAAAAAGCATCAACCATTTCAACAGATGATGACAGCTCAGAGACTAAGAAGACACCAAACCAGACAAAGTTAACATGAGCAGACTGTACAATTGAAGAGAAACAAGAAAAGTGGACCTAATGAAAAACTCTAAAATCTACAGCACAAAAGTAATGCAACTTATGTAAGTCACATAAAGAACAGTTCCCAGGACATCCACCTTATATTTGGTGAGCAGACTACCACAATTAGCAAACTAGTTTCAAAAATACTTTCTCAGACTGATTTCTTTGGCCTCAGGGTCTGACTAGAACCTCATTATACAAAACAGGTTAGGGAAATATTTCCGATCCCTTGCAGACCCGTAACTGAAACACCTGAATTAAAGAACAGATTTTAACCAACAGCAGTTAAATCTCATGTGAAGTCATCTATCACAAATCTAGATTTTCTTACAGCTTGTCATCTATTTGGGAGACAAATTCCTGCTTTTGACATCAGATGAAGCACTCTGTAGCAAAACGTTTTCTCTTGAAAGGTTGGTGAAACTGAACCCCTTTAGAAAACAGCAGTTTCTTGAATTCTCAGATGCCAGATATATTGTTGGAAACTGTTTCCTAACCTCTCATGCACATTAGTCCGCTGTAAACATTGGCTAAAGCATTTGCTAACGTATAAGACAAATTACAAAGACCAACCTGGGCGGAGAACATTCAGGGAGGACAGGGCATTCGAAAACGCCCCACCGGCTTTCGGTTTTTCATCTTCCTTCTCACTTTCAACTTCCATTTCTTCTTCACCATGCTCACTGTTTGCAGTCCCATCTTCTTGGCCTAGATCCTTATTCTGTCCTGTCTTTTCTAGTGGTGCTTCGACTGATAAGACAACAAAGTCCATGTTTTACTCCTTTTATAAAGATCACTCGGAAGTATTTTTTTTTTAAGATATAAAAACCAAAAGGAAAAATCAAATTAAAATTTTGAATGGTAATTTTATCGCTTGCGATCTAGTAAAATATGCTTTCTTAACTGTGGTTAAGTCACTGACATCCTCTCAAAATAAAATCTGACAAGGCAGGCACACCAACAGCCACTAAACATTCTCCATGTTGTCAGGTATTAAGAAAGTAAGGGAACTCGAGAACATACAGGCAACCTTGTCTCTTACATATGTGATGAGAAAGCATTGCCTGTATTACACCCAATCTTTCCACAAGAACAAACTCATCTCAAAGGAAGCTTTCATTTTCGTCTTGGGCTGGGTGTAACAACCCCTTCCATCAGGTGGGTAACATACAGATAGATACAGGCAGAAAGTACAAATACTGTGTAAAACAGTGCAAGTTAAACTCAGCTGCACATATCTGAGGTTTTAGACTCAAGCATTTGAGTAGAGAGTCCAAGCTACTGACTCAAGTAGCAGCCACAAGGTCTTTACACCATAACCACATCAATTAGGGACAGCAAAACAGACAGAAAATAGGCACACACAGCCATGCTCAAAATGCAATTTTTTAACAAGCAAGAATTAAGACCCAGGTTTTCACAGATGACCCTGAACACTACACACACAAATGACCATTTCTGCCCCACACCAATGCACAGGCAACTTAAAGATTCTAGTAAGAAAGAATTTGTGGGTTTTCTAAACACAGACAAAACCTTCAAAAAACCTTTAAGAATTTTTAAAAAATAATTTAATTAAATATAAAAAGGACATTTCCTGCATGGGACCGTGTTCAGCTCCCATACGCTTCAGCTGTACCATTGCAATCTTTACATCATAAGCCTCTCAGCTCATGCTCACAGCATTACATACTCTATGCAAAAACATAACTGGAAAAGGAATCACTACACTTTACCAGTGAGCTTCCCAAAAAACAACAGTACAACTGGAATTGAAGTCCCAGACTCTACTCCAAGCTGTGGAGGACCGTACATTGTTAAAAGATGCTTCTGCTCCAACACTTTCAGTCTGTCACCTTAATCAATCAAGTCTACTCTAAGGTCCAAGTCCTGAAACAGGCAGCTCACTTAATGACAAAGAACACCACTCTGCTCACCCCGAAAGTCTTCCTCTTTGAAAAAGATGCATTACAAGGACATATCCCGTCAGACAAGCACCAGGCATATTTTTAAACTAATATAACTCCTTCCTAGCTCAGTAAGAAACTCATTTGTCATAACCACCGCTGAAATTCAGAAAACTGATGTCTACTGACAACCGTACACAGAGCTGAGAAGTTTCATCCTTCTATATTAATTTCCACATAGGAGAGATTCAAAGAACTCTCCACCACCTTCAGAACAGCATCTGTAAGGCTCAAGTAACACACTTAATGTGCGCTTTACTTCAGCTCTAAACATGAAATCCTCTGGAAGTCTAACAATTCCTCTTGGAAACAAAAAAAGAAATTACAATACTCCATCTTTCCCACCACAAAAGTTACTATTAGTTTTGCAGTTACCATCTGTTGGAGAATTGACCTCTGTTCTAACTTTTGATTTTTCAAGATCTTCTTTGTATTCTTTCTTCAATTGTTTTACAATCTTTTTGCTGTAACTTGATTTCTTCACTTTAAAAACTTCTTCAGTTTCTTTAAAAGAGAAATTGGAAAACATTACATTAGACCCACCATCAAGTATACTTACCTATTAAATATCTTAATTTTGTACCTAGAACTTTAGAAACGCCATTAACAAACAACTGCCAGGGCTTTTCAAAGTCTATAGCATTATTTCATGTTTTCAGTATTTCTGTCAAGATTTCTAATCACAAATCTCAGAAACCAAGTTCTGGTAGTTACAAGAGAATTCCTTCTAAGACCCCTACGAGGTGCCAGGGCAAAAAGGCAGTCCGACGTGACCCGTGAACAGCAGCCACTGCAGATTAAAACAAACCCGGCACAAAGCCCCGGGGCAGATGTTCCTCAGCCAACCCCGCCGGTGCCGGGGGAAAGGGGCAGGTTGGCACAGGCGGGCCCAGCAACTCCCACCCACAAACCCCTGCCTGCGGGCCACCACGTGCAGCGAACGCAACACTGGGGGAACGGTCAGGCCCCAGCAACACAGAAGGGGAGGCAAGTGAAACCCCTACAGCAGAATTAAACCCGCTGCTCCGCGGTGCTGGGAGCGCGCTGGCCCCGCAGGAGCCGGGCCGGGCCGGGCCGGGCAAGAGCAGCGGGACCGACGGGGCGCTCCCTGCCCGCCCGCACCGCGCCCCCAGGGCCCTCCCCCTCTCAGGCGACCCCACATCACACGCGGCAACCCGACCGCCTTCAAAAATAAATAAGGGTCCCGGCTTTCTGCGAGGGCCGAGGGCGCGCGGCCGGCGGGGGCAGGCCGAGCGGCCCCGGGCCCCTTCCACCCCCGCGAACGCCGAGCCAAAGGCCGGCAGCCTCTCGTCTCACCCTCTTCCTCGTCCTGGAAGCTGAGCAGGCTGGCCCGCGGCACCTCTTTGTTCTCTCGCGGCCGCTTCTTCTCCTTGGGGCGGCCGGCCGCCGGCAGCCCGTTGCCCTGCTGGGGCTGCGGCGGCGGCGGCGGGGGCAGGAGGGCGGGCGCCGGCAGAGCCCCCAGGCCTGCCCGGTCGCCCCCCATCAAGCCCAGCCCCAGCCCGAGCGCCGCTCCGTAGCTCGCAGCGCAGGCGAAGGCCGCGGGGCTGCCGGGCAGGGCGAGGGGCACGCAGCCCGCGGGCAGCGGCAGGAGCCCGGCGCCCGCCGCCAGCGACATGGAGGCCTCGCTGGGCCCTTCCCCCCCCGCCCCGGCCGCCGCCGCCGCCGCTGCCGGCGGCTCCTGAGGCGGCTCCTCGTCGCGCTCCTCGTCCTCCTCCTCCGAGTCGTTCCGCTTCCGCACGTTCACCCTCCGCGCCTTGCGGAACATCCCGCCGGCCACCGACCGGGCGGCCCCGCGCGGCCCCGACACCGCCCGCCCGCTCGGCTCCGGCCGCCCCGCGCCGCGTCCCGGCCCCGCCCGGCCCCGCAGCGCCCCCCGCCGCCCGCGCCCACAGCGCCGCCCCCGCCGCCATCTTGTGGCGAGAGAGCAGCGCGGGGAGGCCGAACGGGGCTGTCACCGCACGGAACGAGTTCATCGCTCCAAATGCGCTTTATTGTACCGAACACACCGATGCTGGGCGGGCGTTGCTCTGAAAAAGAAATCTGCAAGTTTCTAACGCGCAGTACTTCCACAGGGCAAAGCCACGTAAAATTGGAAGTGGGACAATCGGGTTCTCGGTATCTTGGAGTTGGAAAGGTCGCTGCGATATCGGTGCCGTGGATTTCTGCAGTTCAGGACTTTTTGCCGTTTTCAGGGAAACTCTCTGCAGTGCTCGCTTGGGCACAGGAGCAAAAGGGCTTTTACACCAGCCTTATTCAGAACACTTACCACCTGGGGAGTCTTTCTGCTGTGCCTTTTGCAATCGGACATGTCTTTCTCGTACTGGCCTTATTAGCCACCACCATCCTTGTAACAAATGTGGATAGAGCCTCTCCCAAATTTTCATTCGCGAAGCCTAGCCATGATGATTCAGAACACTACAGTGGCAAAAGTAACTGAGATTTTAATTTGCTCTGTTAGAAAGCCCAAGGATTTATTAATCTCATGGTTTCTTCCCAACAAACCCCGGTTACTGCTGCGTGCTTGAATTTCTGGACACGTGAGCAGTTTGCTATCATCACAAAAGATGAAGTCAAGCTCCCCAATTTGGGGAAACTGCGGGTGTCCACATATCCAGCATGTGCTGGATGACAGGCCCTTCCCTGGGAAAATACAGATCAACTGAAATGGTCCGGTGGAGAGCCACCAAAATGGGCAGGGGTACATGTGACTGTGAGAAAAGTGTGGGGGAACCGGGCACACAGCCTGGACAAGGGAAGATGAGGTTAATACGTGGAAAAAAGTTGCCCCGTGATATCAGGCAGGCAGTGGAGCAGACTGCCTAATGAAGGTGTGCAGGCTCCATCCTTGAGAGATTTTAGGACCCAGCTGTAGAAAATGCTGAGCTGCCTCCTCTGATCCCAGAGGTGGTCCTGCTTGCAGCAGGGGGCTGGACTGAAGATCTCCCGAGCTGCCGTCTAACCAGAGCGATTCCGTGGGAGCCTCAGGTTCTTCTGCAATGGAAAGTACATGGTTATGTCTTTTTCTGTGTGAGGCACAACCTTAAAACAAAATTTACCTGCAGATTTCAATTCTCAGCTTACAATATATTAAAAAAAAATTCTAACAAGGCTTTCTAAAACAGTTGTTTCACATTTACTTTGGTCTTTAAGAAAGTGTTTACTGAACTCATCTGATGAGTCTTGTCTTAACTTCAAACACCTCCTTGTAGAGTGCTCTCACAGTCAGAACTGTCCATCCCTTACAGCTCCTCCTGGCCAAACCAGACAGACTTAAAGATGTCCCATCACTCTCTTAGCAGATCGCCAGGCCTCCCACTACTGAATATGTTAAATAACAGGGCTACCCCACCACCTCCCAGTCCTTGCCTGTCCCTTCTGAAGAGTTCACCACCATCCATTGCACCACTCCAGTTATGCCAGTCATCCCACCATGTCCCCATGATGGCAACTATGCCACAGTTTTCCTGTTGCACTGTGGCTTTCAGGTCCTTCTGTTTGCTGCCCATGCTGTGGGCATTGGGGCAGATGCACTTCAGGGGGGTTATTGATCCCAATGCCTTTCTGGGGAGAGAAGCTCCAGTTCCTGAGTGACCATTCTCAGGAGCTTCCATGGTTTCTAGCACATCAGTAACACTTTCATCCTTGCTGTTGCATGGATCTCCATTCCCTACTCTACTGAGATGGCAGACTGAAGGACCTCGCTAGCACACAGTCCCTCAACACTGGCGTGTCACCCCCAGGATTATCTCCAGTGACCTGATTTTATCCCCTCCCCCCTTCAAATCCAGTTTAACTCTCACCCAACATGCCCTGCTAACTCCTGTGCAAAGATCCTATTCCCCTCAGAGACAGGGATGTTACCAGCACGCTTGGTGTCGGCCAAACCAACCCACGATCAAAACCCCCAACATTCTGCTGCTGGGGCAGCGTGAGGAGCAGCAAAGCTGCTCAGCGCTGACTGAAACATCCAGGAGTTATCAATGCTCCGTCCAGCACAAATCCAAAACACAGCCAGGGAAGAAATGGAACTCTTCCTCCCTGCCCAATGCAGCACATTCTCCACCTCTTATTCTATGCCATGTACATCCTGCTCAGGTCCCACACTATCCAATACCCACCACCACCCTTTGCTATCATACACAGATATCATTCCCTTTGTCTGTGGACCACTCCTGTGAAATGTCCATAAAATGCCCACAAAATGTCCACAAATGTTCACAAAATCATAGAATCACAGAATGGTTTGGGTTGGGAGGGGCCTTTAAGTCATCTTGTTCCAACCCCGGGCCATGGGCAGGGATACCTTCCACTAGATCAAGTTGCTCCAAGCTCCATCCAACACTGAACACTTCCAGGGATGGGGCATATACCTGCTCCAGTGTGGCCTTCTCCATGGCTGCAGTCCTTCCAGGGGTGTACCTGCTCTGCTGTGGGTTTATCCATGGTCACACACTTCAGGGTGCTCCAGCATGACTTCCTGCACAGCCACGGATGTTTCAAGATGTACCTTCTCCAGCAGGGTCTTGTCCTTGGGCCACGTTCCCTTCAGAGATGCTCCTGCTGCAGCACAGACATATCCATGGCCACAGACACCTTGGGGTTTCTTCCTCCCACATGGACACATCTACAGGTCACAGTAAGCAGAAGCAGCCACTAATGGGAACAAGACTAATTTACAGTAAAGTGAGCACAGAAGCTTTGTGGTTTTGCTTTCCCTTTCTCCTTGGCCTCCAGGGCTGCCCTGGCCAGGCTCTCTCTTCACACCGGAGCTTTCTCCTAGTCCCAGGGCTCCCCAAGAGGACAGTGTCTCCTTCCTCTTACCAGGGTCCCCCCCAGCTGGATTCCCGCCCCCAACCAGGGGCAGTGCCACTTGCCCACTCACACTCCCCCCACTACAGTAAATCCTCTGTGTGCCATCCCAGGAAGATGCAAGACCCTTCCATGTCCTCAGCACCTCCAACTCTCATCCCCCTGACCCCTCATCACTCACAGGTATCCCCCCACATTTGGCTGTTGTCCATCTCCTCACTGGCTGATAGGGCCTCTCGTCTGGGGAGGACCCTGCTCCCGAGGGACGTGGACCCTGCTCCTGAGGGACAGGAACCCTGCTCCCAAGGGACATGGACCCTGCTCCTGAGGGACAGGAACCCTGCTCCCAAGGGACATGGACCCTGCTCCCAAGGGACATGGACCCTGCTCCTGAGGGACAGGAACCCTGCTCCCGAGGGACAGGAACCCTGCTCCTGAGGGACATGGACCCTGCTCCCGAGGGACAGGAACCCTGCCGGTGTGTGGGGTGACAGGTGAGCATGGCAAAGGCTGTCACAGGAGCAGCCAGAGGTGGCTCAGCCAGATGAGTGATGATGTTTTGGGGGTTCACTTTGGCTTGGAAGTGAGGCTGGGGGCTCAGCTGTGGGCTGCCACCCCAGCGTCACCAGTGTTGGCCCCATGGTCCCCCCTTTGTCTCTGATCCTCCAAGTGTTCCGTGCCGTGCTGTGCAGACACAGGGGTTCCCTGGGAGAGATGTTGCTGCTGATCTGAGCCACAGCCTACTGTGTCCTCAGCAGCATGAGAGAGGGATTGGTGCAAGCACCACACCCCCGGTCAGGAGCACCCTGACCCGCACCCACAAGGCTCAGGACACACTTCTGGCTGGGATCCCAAGGGGGTTGCTCCCGGTGGGTGACACAGCAGGGCAGGTCTCAGCTGGTGCCAGCACTGGGGTCTGGGTTGGTGCTGGGACATGTCCCAAGGAGGGGCTCTGGCCAGGGATGGAGCAGGGGGTGCTTTCCCCCAGCCTGCCCTGCCTCTCTCCACAGCCACCTCCCAAGCCCCACCACCCTTCCTGAGTTGGCCCTGCTCCTGCTGCCCCACCTCCCCAGGCACTCGCAGAGTAACCAGTTGCTTCCCTGTCCACAGCACCTCGGCATCTGTGGGCTTCCCTCAGGGGCTCTGCCCTCTGCGGAGCATCTGCTGACCAGGACCCGGCCACTGACAGCCCCCAACACTGGTAGGACCTCGACCCCATCAAGAAGACATCAGGATGGGTGTAAGGATGCAGCTGAGTGTGGGGTCTGCGAGGGGCTGTCCCAGGGATGGGGCCTGGCATCAACAGGGCTTGGGGGTGCAGCAGGGCTGTATTGGGCAGGTCCCTGCCCAGGTGGCTGCTCCGCTGCTCACCTTCTCCTGGCTCCTAAGAGTAGCTGTGGGACAGGGGTGCCCCCAGGAGTCTCCTGCAGTTCCCTGGACTGAGGGCAGCTCATGGGGGCTGCTGCTGGGGGCTTCTTCAGCCCCCTCTATCCTTCCCACATCCTGTGCTGCAGTGCAATGCCTGCAGCCCAGTCTTGCTCAAGGGGTCCAGGCTGTCCCACAGCCCAGGGGGGTCACAGCCCCCCACAAGCACACAAGGTAGCAGGGAGGGGGCTGGCACCAGTGACCCCAGCCCCAGTACCCAAGAGCAGGAGCCCTGCCAGGACAGCATGGTTAGGGGGGCTGCCCCATGGAACAGAAGGTGGGGCTCAGCAATGCCATGCTAGGGGACAGCCCCAGCTTCCCCCAGGTGCAGAGGGGAACGGGATGGGCCTATCTCCCCGGGGTCCCTGCACCCCAGGGCTTCCCCACGTACCCTCCTCCTCCGGGGCAGGGCACAGCCATAGGGCCAGGCATTCCTGGGCAGAACTGGGACTGACCATGGTTTTCCAGCACTTTGCCAGGCAGGGAGGGGGTCAGAAATGGATCCTGCCCTTTGTGGGCACCAGGGCCACTTCCTCTCCCTCCCTCCTCATCCCACAGATGCCCTGTGCACTCAGGGGCAGCACCATCCCCAGGATGCAGGTGACAACGGGGCAGCCTCGATGTACTTTAATAAACCCTGGGGTCCCATAGCCAGCTACAGGCAGGGCCGGGGTCGGCCCAGGCACCAGAAGCCCTGGGCTCAGCGGGCTGGCACATGTGGGGCCATGTGGTCCCCACAGCAGGTCACGGAGATGGAGGTGTCACACGGGGCTGTTGGAGCAGGGACCCTCACTGCGGGGCGCTCACCCCTCACAAGTTGCTCCCTGGTGTCAGCCCAGCCCCCCACTCTCGACAGGGGCTGGTGCTGGCTGGGGCCATCGCACCTCCCTGGTGTCCACACCGAGAGGACTGAGCACCACGCAGGTGAAGTTGGTGAGCAGGTGCTGGGTGTTGAAGGAGCTGAAGTGCAGGTCACGGCGCAGGGCCGCCCCCGAGCCCCGCAGCTCCTCTCTGCAGACCCAGGGGGGACCCATCAGTGCCCACCCTGGGCTGGGAGATCCAGGGTCCCTGCCCCAGCGGGGGCCACCCCGCTGCCTCTGCCCCCCCATGTCCCCCGTCCCCATACTCACTGCACTGTCCCCTCGTGCACAGCCCCGTCTGGGTACAGGCTCTCCACAAAGGAGCTGTTCCCCAGCCAGTAGAGCAGCGTCAGCTCTGGGAGCCCACTTGTCGCCTCGCATGACACCGTCACGCTCTCGCCTGCAGCCGGAGGGGATGTGGGGATCAGGGGGGCTGCAAGGGTCCCCACTGCCCCCCCGTTCAGGCTGGCCACAGTCACAGTCCCCCCGCACCCCTCAACAATGGAGAATGTCCCCCCACCTCATCAGCAACCCAAAATCTCGGCTGTGGGTGGAAGATGCAGCCTGTGTGTGTGCCGGGTGCTGGTGCAGGAGCTGACCCCACTGTGCCTCCCCCAACTGGGGGGCTCACTGCAGCTTCCCCATCCCTAGGCCATCCCTGCCATGGCCCCAGGGGTCTCTCACCTGGACGGGGGGCCTCTGCTGGCATCCGCAGGATGGTGATGGTGGGGAGCTGCAGGGCCATGGCACCTGGAGGAGCAGAGTGGAGTAAGGCAGGAGGTCAAGAGCGACCCTCTGAGACTCCACATCTCTGGGGTGGGTGAGAGGGCAGGGTGCTATAGAGGCATGGGAGCACTCCTCACCCAGAGGTGACTTGGCCGCCCCGGCTCGCCCAGAAACCCCCACCTACCTGCACAGAGAAGAGCCAGGGCCCAGCAGGGCAGAAGCAGGAGGAGCCAGGCAGGGAGTCCCAGGGGCCCTGCAGGCAGAGATGGAGCTCAGTGCTGGACATGCTGGGATGTTCCCCACGAGCCTGGGATGGTTCCGTCCCCTCAGCATCCTCCCAGCTAGTCACGGTCCCTCCAGCATTTCCCCCCAGCAACCCCCGGGCTCGTCCCCTCGCACCTCCCCAGTTAACCATGATCCACCCAGCGCCTCCCCAGCATGCCATGAGCCTGGGATGGTCCCGTTCCCCCCGGCATCCCCCTCCCGGGGTCCCTCAGATGGCGGCTGGTGCCCCCAGGGCTGTCCCCCCGTCCCCTCCGTACGGGCAGGCCGTGGCTCAGCCATGGGGCGGCGGCGCTCGCGGCAGCGGCGCTTTATGGGGCGGCCCCGCTTTATGGGGCGGCCCCGGGGCGGGGCGAGCGGCAGCGCCGTGACTCACCGCGAGCCGCCCCCGGCCACGGCCCCGCCGACGTGCCGCGATGCCAGGACACCGGGACCCGCACCGCCCCCGCTGCGTGTCCAGAGGGCCCGTGCCCCCATGTCCCCTGGTTCCCAGAACGTGCCCGCTGTCCCCAGCACTCCACGCCCCCTGTGCTCCATGTCCCCTACACCTGGGGCGAACGTCCCTCAGGCAAGCCCATGATCAGCACACCGTGTGTCCCACCCGCTCCTGGGCGAGCATCCATGGGCCCCCAGGGATGAAGGAGCGGGGCTCGGTTGGGCCCCGTGTCCATCACGTGGGGCACTGGCTGAGCCAAGGGGCGTCACAGGACTCTGGGACATGCGGGTTTGCCCCCTGACACTCTGGGGTCAGGGGCAAGGCAGGGTCTGCACAAGAGGAGAGGGAGGTGGGTTAAGCCCCCGGGGGACTGAGCATGCACAGCTCGTGGGGGGAGCCCTGCCTGCTGACCCCTGGGTGTCCCACCTGGGGCAGCACAACAGCTTAGCACAGAGGAACCCCCCAGGACCCAACCCAGGCTTCACGCTGGTGCTTGGCTGTGGGAAGCCTGAGCAAGGGCAGGACCAGGACCCTCTCCCCTGTCCCACAGCAGAGCCCCCTCATCCCTTGAGCCAGCCCCTTGGCAGCAGGCACAGTTTCAACAACCCACCAGTCCCATTCCCCAGCACCCTCAAGGCCAGGAGCCAGTGCAGGCACAGTCACCTGAGCTGCAGGCCCTGGCACTGCCTGGTAAAAAGTCCCTAATTCCCCAGCGAGTTTCGTTATCCCTGTTCCCAGCAGGGCAGAAAGGTGGCGGGAACAGGAATGTTTATCTTGGGGACCTGCCAAGTGCAACACGTCCCTGTCCTCCTGCTGGGATGAGGTCAGCAGCCACATCCTCCCCACAGCACCCATGGATGTCCAGTGGGCAGTGACAGGCCAGAGGCCACTCTCATGGCAGCACCCAGTGCCCTGTGCTCCTCTGCCACCCCCCTGCTCCCACCAACACCAACCAGCTGAGCTCTGGGTGCCACAGGTGCTTGTTTGCCATCCACACGATATCTGTCCCCCTGGGAGAGCCAGAAGGAGGAACCATGGCCTCACCCTGGAGCAGGGAAGACGAACAAGAAAAACCCAGCGCCATGTCTCCATTTCCAGGACTCTTATTTTGGTGTTTGGCACGACACTGCAATGTGGTTTCCCCCGAAAGAAAACCCAAATGACGCAGCAGGGCGCTGGGGTTCCCTGGGGAGGGGGGCACACAGCCCACGTGGTGCCCACAGCCACACCACTGCTGCAGCCACTTCCCAAATCCCCGGAGCCAGGAGCTGCCTCATAGCCCCTCACCAGACCCCAGTCTCCTCGGACGATATGGCTCAAGTATCTGCATGCCAAAATACCACCACTGGCCCTCGGGGGACTTTGCCCCCACCCAGTGCCAAAAGATGAGCCTGAGGCCCCTCACACCAGCAGGACTGCGGCACGGCTCCCACCGGCATGGTCAGGAGGATGCCATGGTGCAATGCCGGGGCAAGGAAATGCCAGCACCAGCCCAACCTTCGCTCCATCCCTTTTATTCCAGTGCCAAGAAGAGCAACACCCAGCGAGGAGGCCCCCACGCCCTGGGGCAGGGGCACCCACTCCTGGGCTGCTCTTGATGTACCGTCACCGTCACCCAAAAGGGCGCAGAGAGAGGAACAGCACCGGTCCCACTCCATGCCCTGGCTGACAACCCCGAACAGCCAGGGGACAACGCTGGCCTTCAGGGAGAAACATAGAAAATTTGGGAGCATATAAAAGGGTTCCCCGAGACAGAGCCCACCATCACCGTGCCAGTGAGCAGCTTGGTTCCTCCCGGCACACCCATGGCACCCAGAAGGGGACCCAGCAGCCTGGGGTTGCCAGGCATCCCTCTGTCCCCTCTTTCAGGGCACTGGGCTCCAGCCTCTCCTCTGCAGCCCCCATATCCCATCCTCGCTGCCAGCAAGGCTGCTCCGGGGTGCCAGCGTCGGAGCCGGCAAAGCCTCGGCCCTTCTCCCCATGGCCTCCCCTGGCAGAGGGGCAGGAGGGAGCTGGAGAACAGCCCCCAGCCCAAAGCTCAGCCCAGCAGGGTGCTGCGAAGGACCCGAGAGGGGCAGGGAAAGGGGACGAGTGTCTCTTTTCAGCTGCAATAGAAAGTTTTAAATACGCTCATTAAAATAATTGCTTTTTAAAAAAATCCTCCCTCAGCTCTGGCAGGAGGGGCCCCAATGCTGCTGTCCTCAGGGGTGGCCGAGGTCCTGAGAGGCGATGGAGCAAAGCCAGCATCCCCGGTGGCAACTGTCCCCGGCCCTGGGCACGCGTCCTCTCGTGGCTCTGCGGCTCCCCACCGCCTGCGCTTACTCCAGCCCCAGGATGTAGTTGATTCCCTGGACCAGTCCGATGATCACCGGCTGCCAGGCCACCAGGTAGCGCAGCCAGTCCAGCAGCTGCCCATACATTACGTGAGGCCTCTCCCAGCTGGGCAGGAAGGAGTTAAAGAGCCATGGGGAGATGGGTGAGAGGAGCACGGCCCACCCAGGAGCCACCCAAAGGTGCCCCAAAGCAGGGACAGAGAACACAGGTGCCCAGGGAGGGACGGACACCGGCACCCAGGGAAGGACAGACAGGGGTCCCCGCAGAGGGAAAGCTGTGGCCAGGCTTGCCTTGGGTTTTGCAGGGTCTCTGCCACTGTCATGGGCTGCAGTGGCTTACCCAGGGTAAGATGAGCCCCTCACCCCTTATGTGCTCTACCCACTGCTCTCCTTCCCACAGTGCTGGCTCCCAGCAGAAGAAAGGATACGGATTACTGAACATCCTCTTGAGATCCACCTTCTCTTTGCAGTATGGACACGTCTGCTTCTTCCCAACAATGCACCAGCCACGGATGCAGAACTCATGAAACCTGGGGAGTGGCAGGTTAAGGGGAACTAGAGGAAGAGAGGCACACATGACTGAGCGTGGAGGGAACCACCAAGCCTAAGAAAATCCCCCCAGGCCAAGGAAACATCCCACTGCATGAGGATGGTGCATTGCACAACCACAGACCTTTCATAGAAGGTGCAGCAGCTTCCAGGGACAGCAGAAGGGGCTCACGGGGCAGCAGGATGGGACCAGGGAGGCAGAATGATGGCCTGACCAATGCATGGGCACCGGGGAGACTGAAACCCTTCACTGATGGTGCCCAACACTGGGAAGGTTCAGACAGTCTGGGAGAGCTCTGTGAATGGTGTGCATTTTGGAAGCCTTCTTCAAAGGCTTCTTGGGGATTGACAACATATTTATGGAATTTCTACCAGGATCTGACTTACTGCTATGCTCTGTCACAAGGAAGTGCACAACTGAGCACTGCCTGGGGAAGTTAGAGGGAAACACGAGGTGGCTGCAACCGACTTGCCACGCACAAGGGTGTCACTGAGTAAACAAACTTCCCCCAGAATCTCTCTGCTGCTCAAACCAAGGGGGAATGCCAGTGAGTCAGCAACGGGAGTCACTCCCTTGTCAGCCCTGGAGCCATAGGTCCAGGGGTGCCCAGCCAGCCCTTACCCCAGAGGACCACCAGGAGCATAGACCAGCTCCTCTGACAACCACACAACCCCGTGCTGCCATAGTCCCAGACTCTGCACGAGTCAGCCATAAATCTCACAAACAGTTCCTAACAGTTAAATTTAGGTCATGAGTTTTGCCAGCATGACCTTTGTCTAGGCCCAGTTTGGAAACCACCTTGCAGGCAGTAATGCATGCGGTGCCAGAGGACATTCCACTTCCAGGCTGAGTCACCACAGAGAAAAAACCCTGACCCATCTCAGCTGGGGCTGAGCAACAACCAGGACTTCCAGTTTCAAAACCCACTTCACATCAATCAGCTGATGGGATGGGCTGAGTGACTCCAGGGTTCTGGAAACCCTGGAGGAGTTCTGGGAAAGGAGGAAGCTGCCAGGTTGTGATCAGAGCAGGCAGTGACCAGCAGTGCTTGACCCGGGGGCTGTTTTCAGAGGGAGGGCAGCAGTGTTTCCCCCTGATTTTTCCTTATGGAGACTCAGACAGGACCCACCGCACTGGGTCTCTGATGAGGGGCCAGCATGGCACAGAGCAGGGCACGTCCCAACCTCAGACCATCAGAGCTGCCACTGCCAGGCAGATAGGTCACAGTGGATTTGGCAAAGGCAGGTGGAAAGTGAGGTGCAGCTCCATGGCCGAGCAGAGGGAGCTGGGGAGGGAAAGAAAGAGGAAATAACCACTTGTGACGCACATGGAGGTGGCAACCAAGTGATTTCATGGATGCTGAGTCAGTGAGGACACAGCCATGGATCACATGCAAATTCAGCCAGACAGCCCCAAGTCCCAGGACGGGCATTTCTTCACCCACTGTGGGAGAAGCCGTGGGGCAGGAGCTGCCTGCTGCCCACCCCAGCGTGGGGCCAGCGAGGCGAGGGGCTGGCACCTGCCGAGAAGGATACACGTGGTTGCAGGAGAGGCGGTAGGTGTTCTCGATGATCCCCTCCTCGTTGACGTCCACAAAGATCTGCTGGCCACAGACGGCGCAGACGCTGTCGGAGAGGTGCTTGGTGGGCATTCCCGAGGCGCTGTAGAACTGAGCGAGGGCAGAGCAGAGGGAGAGCGGTGACAGCGGGGGGGCACGTGTCCCACGCCCGCGGTGGCACGGCTAAGCTCTAAGGAGGGCTGGGGGCAGCACCCCGGGAGTCGCCTCGGCCTTTGGGGCTTAAAAACCCTGTTACAGGTCCGGCTGTGGGAAACAACTACAACAGGACAGGGAGCTGCTCAGTGATGCAGTGGCCCATCACATCCCAGCCCCACGCACCCCCTTCCCATGCTGAGGGACTTGCTGTCAACCCCAGCTCCCTAATCCCTTTCCACGGGACTCTCTCCAGGCTCTTGTCTTCAAATTTGTACCTATAACCAGGATTATGCCACCCCAGGAGGAGAATCTTGGCACTTGCCCTGCTAAATTTCACATGGCTGAAGCTTGCCCAGCTCTCTCGTCTGTCCAGCTCTCACTCCTAAGAGGCCACAGCCTCTCCTGGTTTAGTATCATCAGCAAAAACATGCCTCCCTCAGAGTCCTGGCACATTTTTGCTCTGAGCATCTGACAGAGCCCTGGGGATCTGAGAGAGACCTGAGCTGTGCCAAGGCGTTGCAGTGTGGCCCGTGAGAGGCTGGAGCAGAACCTCAAGAAGCAGCAGCAGAAAGCTCAGAAAGGAAGAGGAGGAGGAAAGACAAAGTCCAAGACCCTAGCTGAAAAGAAGAAATATGACC